ATTGGCTAGACTTGAGAAGCTCCAGGGTCTCAGAGGTTGATTCCTTTTGGCATATGGTTAGTTTTTGTTTTGTCAATTTGACCCAGGCTAGAGTTCACTCAGGAAGAGGGACTCTTGGGAAAATGCCTCCCTAAAATGGGCATATAGGAAAGTCTGCCCTGCATTTTCTTGATTGATGATTGATGTGGGAAGGCCCAGGCCACTGTGGGCGGAAGTGCCTATCCTTGGTCCTGAGTTGTAGAAGAAAGCAGGCTGTGTAAGCCATGAGAGGCAAGCCAGTAAGCAACGTTCCTCCACGGCCTCTGTTTTAGTTTCTTGCCTTGACTTCCCCGAGTGATGTAGCTGGCTGTAAGATGAAGTATTAGTGTCTTTCCTGTTGCTGAGACATAACACCATGACCCACTGTGGTGGTATGAATAGGTGTGGCCCCACAGACTCATGTATTGGAATGCTTGGCCCATAGGGAGTGGCACTATCAGGAAGTGTGGCCTTGTTGGAGGAAGTGTGTCACTGTGGAGGTGGGCTCTGAGGTCTCCTATTCTCAGGCTGTGCCCAGGGTGGGACACAATCTCCTTCTGCTGCTTCCAATCAAGATGTAGAACTCTAGCTCCTTCTCCAGCACCATGCCTGTCTGCACCCTGCCATGTTCCCCTGCTATGACGATAATGGGTCAAACCTCTGAAACTGTAAATCAGTCCCAATTAAATATTTATCTTTATAAGAGTTGCCACGATCATGGTGTCAGTAAGACACTCACTCAGCTTATTAAAGAAAGTGTTTACTCGAGCTGTGGTTTCAGAGGGTTAAAGTCCATGTAAGTGGAGAGATGACACGGTGGCAGGAACAGCCAAGAGCTCACATCTTGATCTGCAAGCAAGCAGAGAGAATCTAGGAGTAGCATGAATCTTTTGACACCTAAAATCCCATCCCTAGTGACACACCTCCTAAACCTTCTCAAACAGTTTAGCAACTAGGGATCAAGTATTCAAACATACAAGCCTATGGGGGCCATTCTCATTTAAACCACCACATTCCACCCCAGGACTTCCATCAGTTCATGGCCGTTATCATTATGCAAAACACATTTTAGTACAACTTCAAATTTTCCCAGTCTCTCATAGTATCAACACCCTTTTAAAGTCCACAGCCTCTTTGAGACTCAAGGCAATGTCTTAATTGCAGCTGTTAGGTTTCAGGACGTGCATTAGGTCCAGAAATGAGCTCCAGCTGGACCACAGAAGGATTTCTGGTGGTTAGATAAAGCCAGCGTTCCTCAGGAACTTGTAAAATGGGTTTCTGTACCAAAAGGAGTCATTTCCCTTGCCTCTGGCAGAAGGGACATACGGTTCTCCATTGACATATACCTGTGGCTGCATATCAAACCACCAGACTTCCTCAGTCCCTATTCACAGGTACCCATTATACATTTCAAAGCCCCACACTAACACTCTGGCCCCTCTCACCTCCTCTTCCACCCTAAACTGCCAGACCTGCTCCATCTCACCGGCTTCCCTTCCCCAGCAACTCCTCCTTCTTACAGACCTGCATGATGTCTCCACCCTGCACATCACTCCCCCTGGCCGTGTTCAGTCTTCTTCTTCTTCTTCTTCTTCTTCTTCTTCTTCTTCTTCTTCTTC